GAAGATCACAACGAACTTTACGATCATAGACTTTGCGGGACTCTTTGCCTATCAGATATCAAACGCAAGATGTACCAGAATTGAAACTGACCAACACTGACGTTCCTCCAGCAGTTGAAAAAATTACTACTGACACCACCAACAACGCTAATCCATCCAGAACTAAAAATTCAAACGCTCCAGTGCATTCCGTTCCTTATTCGAATCAAAAAGTGGGATATAGAGACACTAGAATGAATTTCGATGATGATTCGGATAACGATGTCTCCCTCGCAGGTGAACATCATATCATCCCTACCATACAGACCTCAAACGCAAGACCCTCCAGATTAGCCCATACCATCCCACACCAGGAACAACTCTTTGTTACTCATAAGACAGAAGAACATAACGCGTCGGCAGCAATAGTATCAGGTGCAACTAGCCCAAGTGTAGCTTTCGGCGTAAACGGCCGCAGGTTGTCAAGAGCACAATCATTCTCTCAAGAGTATCCTTTCGCTTCAAAACCAAAAAAGACAAGGGCAAACTCCTCTTCAACTACTAGATCAGCAATTAATCCAATGGGTTTGCTGACCAAAACAATTACACAGAGATCCGACCACGACCAACAGCCTCCTGTAGGCCACGGCGCAAGGAACAAAGGAACTAGAGCCTCTATTGCTTCCGAGGGTTCACAAGGTTCAAGAGTCTCACAGGAAACAGAAGAAGATGTCTGTTTCCCTATGTCACCACAATTGCACACCAGAATTAATGGTATCGATTTCGATGAGTTGGAAGAATTTGCCGTACAAATGAACCAAATGAAACAGCAATATATGGGTACTATACCAGACAATGGCAATTTCAATCCGGTTTTCAAATCAGAAGCTGTGACAAGTTCCGCTTCTACTTCCTCTTCATCTGCTGCAATGAAATATACACCAAAGGACGAAAAATCAAAGGACTCCATTTCTGTTCGTGATAACAGTGCCAATACTCCGGAATCATTTCAACCTGAAACTTATGGTATATCATTTGGTCACAATAAGGTTGAAGAAGATCATCCTGCTATGGGAGCACATTCTGGAAACAATCATTACCATAATGATTCGCTTCCAACTCATTTGCATACTGCTAACGATGACCGTTATGGCGAATTCCACTGTCCTAATAGGTTTGCATTTTTTTGCTCCGAATCTGATGAAACCGTTCACTCCCCTGATATTCCATCCTTAGTTAAACCAGGACAATCATTCTATAATTTGTTTAGAGGTGGTGAACCAACATGGTGGTTGGACTGTACTTGTCCAACTGATGAAGAAATGAGATGTATTGCTAGAGCTTTTGGCATCCATCCATTGACTGCAGAAGATATTAGAATGCAAGAAACTCGTGAAAAGGTTGAAATGTTCAAACCTTATTATTTTGTCTGTTTCCATACTTTTGAAAATGATAAAGAATCGGAAGATTACTTAGAACCAATTAATGTTTATATTGTCGTTTTCAGATCTGGTGTTTTAACTTTCCACTTCGGTCCAATTTCTCATTGTGCCAGTGTCAGAAGACGTGTTAGACAATTGAGAGACTATGTTGATGTTAACTCCGATTGGTTATGTTATGCGTTGATCGATGATATCACTGATAGTTTTGCTCCTGTAATCCAATCTATTGAATATGAAGCTGATATCATTGAAGATTCTGTCATGATGGCTCGTAACATGGATTTTGCAAGAATTCTGGAAAAAATTGGGGAAAGTAGGCGTAAGACTATGACCCTAATGAGATTGTTGAGTGGTAAAGCTGACGTTATTAAAATGTTTGCTAAAAGATGTCAGGATGAAGCATCCGGTATCGGACCAGCTCTAACTTCACAGATTAATATTGCAAATTTACAATCAGGTCCAGCTAGAGGAATCGACAATAATGGCACAAGAGATAACGCATATAATTACTCCAGCCAAGTTACCCAACCAAGAGGTGACATTGCATTATATTTAGGTGATATCCAGGATCATTTGTTGACAATGTTCCAGAACTTGTTAGCTTATGAAAAGATTTTTTCTAGATCACACGCTAATTATTTAGCTCAGATCCAAGTTGAATCATTTAAGTCCAATAATAGGGTTACCGAAATGTTGGGTAAAGTGACTATGATCGGTACTATGCTGGTTCCATTAAATGTTATCACTGGTTTGTTCGGTATGAATGTCACAGTACCTGGTGAACAAAGTAGTATAGCATGGTGGTTTGGTATTTTAGGAGTTTTAATTTTGTTAGGTATAGGAAGTTGGTTCTTGGCTAGTGCTTGGATTAAACGTATTGATCCCCCATCTACTTTAGATGAAGCAGCAGAAAGTGGGGCAAGATCAATCATTACAAGTTTCTTTCCAAGAGGTCTACGTGGTACTACACAATACAAAAACAACCCAAATACACGTCAACCTCGTCAACATTACCATCAATCAAATCGTTCGATTCTAAGTTTGCCAAGCAAATACAGTCGTTACGATTAGAATTCCAATTCTACTATTTATGCTATGGCAAATTATATTCATTAATTTAAATTATTAATATTTTTTTGATCGATATTAAAATTAAGTTAGTAATTAGCCTTCTTATTTAGAAGTGAAGAATAAATATATATTTAGTAAAAGTATTTAAAAATTATAAAGGATAGATTTTATTGAGCAATCTGTATTATTTAATGAGGGAATTTCATATAAAACAAATTATATGTTCTGTTAAAATGAAAAATAAATATTTATAAATGAGATATTTAGAAATTAATAATTATGTTACATGTATATTAGAGATACGTGATTAATTAGGAACAAATGCTTTTGAATCAGTTCCAATATTTAACTTATTAAAAGGTTGGAAAGTATTAAGGGAAATATAGAATAATATTGTCTCAATTCTCCTTATCAAAAAAAGTTAAATTGTAAAGGTGCATTATTCAAATAACTAACAGAAATTAATTGAATTGTATCTTTTAAATGATTCTTCTATGAGTATAGGTATTATGTTCTTTTTTTGGGGGTTTTCTTAATTATTTTTTTCGGTAAAATATATTATAATGATTCTCTTTTTTATTGAGGAATCGGGTAAAATCTTATAAATGGTATTGATGTCACCATAAAACAAATCAACTATCTTCTTCGGTCTCCGGTTTGATCTTTGTTACGAATTCTCCAAGTACCTGCGATTCGAATTCGCTAAAATCGAATAAGTGTGGTAAACGAATAGGTTGAGTTTCACCTCTTGGGAAGAAATATTCTTCTTTTCTTAAGTCATCAAAGAATTGGTGAGCTAGTATTCTTCTTGGAGACAATCTTGATTGTGGTTCATAAACTAGGACTTTCATCAATAAATCTATACCATCAGGACCAGCATGACCAAAATGTTTTTCAAAACGAGATTGTGGAGATCCTGAGAACAATGGTTTTGAGAACAAGGGGCCATCATAAGCAGGGTTTGAGAAAAAGATAAATTTTTTATCAGGAGGGCCTAATAACTTTGCAATTTCTCTCAATTGTAATAAAGGTTCTTGACCTTGGAATACAGCTTTACCTATAAGCATTTCACCAATTACACATCCCAAACCCCAAATATCTATTTGAGTAGTGTACTGAGTAGAACCAATAATTAATTCTGGAGCTCTGTAAAATCTTGAACAAATGTAACTAATTGAAGGTTGATTATGTTCCAACTTTTTAGCAGAACCAAAATCACAAATTTTTAAAACACCAGAAGAAGGATCGACTAAAATGTTTGAAGGTTTGATATCACGATGACAGATTCCTAATGCATGCAAGTATAGCATACCTCTTGCAATTTGGTAACTGTATAATTTTACATGCTTAATTGGTAATTGTAAATTATTATTTGAATAACGTGAGATTTCCATTTGCAAAGTTCCAGGCAAACATTCCATAGCTAAGTGTTGGTAAACTTTTCTATCTAAAGGAGAAGTATGGGTGAAGAAATATTCTAATTTAACGATATTTGGATGATTTGTTATTCTTAAAATTTGTAATTCTCTTGATTTATACTCTGTTTGAGCAGGTACTCTTTTGATGGCAAAGGGACCATACCATTGTTCTTTATCTTGAGTTAAATAAGCTTGAACAACGGTACCAAAAGCACCGTGGCCTATTTTTCTATATTCTTTAATTAACATTCTTCTTGTGTTATTAGATCTATTAGAAGTTACATCGTCAGCGATGAACTCCTCACAAGATGAGTTTAGCCCACTGGAATTTGACATAATACAAATATATATAAACCTTTGAAGCTAGCAAACTAATAAACCAAAAACGTAAAAGCGTTTCCTTCTTTCCTCTCGTAATTCCCTTTTACTATTACCAAAATAAGTATACTATATTCTCCTTTTCTATAAGCAATAGTATAATAGTAATAGTTCTTCTTCTCAATTAAATCTGTGAGAAATCCCCAATATGTATAATAATAAATGACCCTATGCTAATGTATAAATTAGAAAGGAGGCAGTATAATCAATAGTAAATGCACCGATTATAGCTCAGATTTCTACTTAACAAAACATAAAAAGGCTTGGATATCAATAAAGTTATATACCCTACCTGTTTTAAACTGAACTTCAATATGTTAATGGATGTTGTAATGCCCAGATCTTTCACTATTATTTCAAAATCTGATGTTTACTAAATTCCAAAAAAAAAAACCGTCAAACTGAGAA